TAAAGTTGCAAAGACTAAAGTCTCAAACCCAAAGAGGTATTCTTTATAAACGTTAAGACTCGTCCATGCCCTCCTAAAACGCCTCGTTTAAACACGCCCCCACATGTCTATGTCACGATGTGGGAAGATTTTCATAACATGTAAATGTGCGCCCAAATGTTCACGCAAAGAAAGAAGGCATAACTTTATTGTTGCTGCCACCGCCGCCATGTTGTGAAGATGCTGTGTGTTTCCTTGCGAAAGCGAAGGACACGACTAGAAATCGGTGGTTAAGCTGTATTTACAACACTGTTCCAGAACAGTTCAACCCAAATATTCCGATGTGTGCAGCACATTTTATGGAGGACTGTTTCCTGATCCTGGGAGAGTAGACTACAATGCCGGCTATTCTGACTCACAGTCTGTAAGTACGTTTTCATATTTAAAGAATTTGCCACTGATGATTCAAACGCGAGTTTTGAGCAGTGTAGAGTAGCGCTTGTTGTTTGTCATTTCTCCGATCACAAATGCAGACATGGTTTTATGTTTACTTGGCGCGGATGCAACGCGTAAAAAGACAGCATAAGTCATTATGTCCCCACTGGATGCAACAAATGCCTCGTTTAAAATGGGTTTTTAATTTTTTTTAATCTCGTCGCTCTGGGATACGGCATCACAATGTGGTAAGGGGCGTAACATTTCCATCACACGCTTGAGGAATTCGGCCAATCACAACGCACTGGATAGCTGGCCAATAAGAGCACACCTCACCTTTCAAGACCGATGAGCTTTGTAAAAATCGACATGTTTCAGAAAGGCGGGGCATAGAGGAGAAACAATAATGTACATTATGTGGGAAAAGAATGTGTTTTTTTTTTTTTACCTTAAACCGCATAAACACATTTCACTACACCAAATACACACAATAATGTTATTTTTAGCAGCATCATATGACCCCTTTAAAGCCACACTGAACTGTATAAGTGTGTTAGAAAGTCCTGTGTTTAAAAGTCCAGTGTTAATCATGAGCGGTTTAGTTTACTCTGTTTATTCAAAAAGGTTCACCAGGTGCGAGTTGTGAGGTGCGGCTCAAACATACTCATGCACTCATTTACAAAGCTTTAAAACCGGTGTTGGTTATTTAAAAGATCTGATGGACATACTCGTGCCTAATTTGGACTCATTCATTTAATAACGTGCAGTCAGTTGTGATAAAGCTTCCCGATGTTATGGACATTGCCATCTTTGATACTGTCGCTACGGTTAACTGAGTATGGTTGTGTCTTCAATTGTTCATTCATACAGATTTGTATTTTAATCTGCTGAATGAACAAAACTTTGAAGACTCACATACAAGCAAATGCAGCTGTCAATGCCAAACAGTGACTGTTAAAGCAGCCATCATGGACATTTGTATTAGTGATAGATGCCTTTCAATTCTTGGGGCTTTCTTTCTTTAGGTTTTTTTTTTTTTTTTTTAGAAAATGATTGTTTAACTGTAAAATGCTTGCTAGATTAGTTGACTTATCAAAATGATAACCATAATATTAATAATTTATGTTTATCTTTTCAGAAAAACCAAGCTTATGTTCTTTAACCGTCAGGAGCGGGACATACTTTGGTGCTCTCAGCTGGATGAACTTTGTACAAAAGAGGAAAGGTATCATTTATCCCATTATGTATCTGACTGTTCATTCTATCTCAGTGGGAATCAATTCAGATTCAACGTTGATTCAGTTCAGACTGTCATTAGGCAGCATCCTAACTAGCATGTATGTTTCTTAGGTTTGAGGTGCAGTACGTTCTGTCGGAGCCTACAGACTCTTGGAAAGGCAGAAGAGGGCGGATAGATGCTTGTATGCTGCAGAACTTCCTGGAGAGACCAGAAAAAGCCAAGTGTTTAGTGTGTGTGTGCGGCCCAACCAGATTCACAGAGTTAACAGTGCAGTGAGTCATTTTATTTTTTTAATGGTTTACACACACAAACATTTGATATATCAGAAGCTGTTTGAGTTTGGGCATTTTGTACTGTTTGGTTTAGGTATTGATTTGTTTTTCTCAATGGATACTCTCTCACAGATTGGTCAGACAGCTGGACTTCAGTGAAGAGGAAACTCACATTTTTCAGGGCTGATTGGGACACTGAAGTGAAACATGGATTACTTATACACATACTTTCCAGGCAAAACAAAAGCTGCAACGCCGTTCTTCTGTTTTCATATAATTTGTAGAAATCTAATGGGACAATCAAAAGCCTGCTCTGACAAACATCATAAGTTTGTTTCTTAACATTTCTATTATATTATTATTATGATTTTGTAATTTAAAATAATGCTCAATAATTCTCCTAGGTCAGTTTTTACAATAAAACATATGATCAGTTGTGTTTTCTGCATTTGTTTTCAGATATATTCATGACATGGACGATTTAGAGCACTTGTGTAATGCAGCTAAAACATAACTTAATTGAGGAAGCAATCCATGCAAACAGTTTTGTTGCTGTGTCTTCATATAGCAAATTGAAATGGGTCAGTAAATCAGGTTGCAAGAGATGGCCTATTTTACAAGTAAAGTTATTGCTGTTTGGAAGTGCTAATCTGACTGCCGAATTAAAGTTTATTTTATCTCAGTGTATATGTACAGATAACATTGTAATATGTTAAATTATCAAACTGGAATTCAATTTCCCTACAGAAATGTAAACTCCAGAAATATAATTTGTGCCTCTAGTGCTGTTGTGTCTCAACTGAAATCTGTAAACTTGTATCACAGGTCTGATGTCAGTTTAGAAGGGGATGAAAAGTTTAATTGGGTAAACGAAATTTATTTTAGCAAAGCACTTTCTGTTATGCTCTTGAAATTATGGATGGAGAAACGAGGACTCTTGAATCTTTGAAACTTTTCGACCATAGGCTTATATAAAAAAAATCTTAGTAAATGGACTTGAACCTCAATAACCAGTAGAGAACTGGTCTGGGTTCAAATATTCCGACACGCAAGTGGTGCTTTTTCACTGCATGGTACGATTCGGCTCGGCTCGCTTGCTTTTCCACTGCAATTAGTGGGTGGGATTATAAACTAGTTGGGCCGCCTCTGCTGCCGTGACATTGAAAACGTGAAAAACAAGAGCAATGGAGCCTATCGATGGAATGGTGTTCTTGATTCTCAGCATGTGGATGTTTTTCACTGCAAGACGAAGAAGTTTGTTTCAAAGGAAGCTGATGGCAACAAAGCAAAATACAAGAGAGTCTGGGAACTTGTACAGCAAAGCGTAGATGGTAACATCACTTGGTTTGCACGATGGTGTGCAAGGGTAAACTAATCTTGCATTTAGCAATGTGTTTAGGGTCTCAATCGCTATATCACCACAAAGCATATAATGAACTTAGCTGCCAATATTGCGTATTAAAAAAAGTATTTTGTGTATTTCAGATCTATCATATTTTGCAAAGTCGCCCCACCACAGACCATCTCGCTGGACATTTAACCGAGTGGTAGGATGGGATTGTCCCCGGTTTTACAATCTCTCAGTGGCTGGAGAACTTTAGAATGTCTAATGAAACGTTTACCTACTTGTGCAACAACCTGCGTCCAGCGATGGAGAGACGGGACACAAACTTCTCTGTGTGTGTGTGTGTGTGTGTGTGTGTGTGTGTGTGCCTTTAAAGAAGAGAGTAGCCATCGCACGGTGGAAGCTTGCAACCGGCTCCGAGTGTTGGATTGTTGGATATCTTTTTGGAGTAAGCATAACAACAGTGTGTCGGTGTGTTCAGGAGTTATGTGCTGCTGCAGAGACCTTGTGGGTACCAGAACAAATTCGGGTCCCACTTTACATTAAGTGCCCTTAACTACTATGTACTTACATCAAAAAATATGTACAGTGTACTTATTGTGTTCATATTGTATTGCAAAACACTTTTGATGCTATTGAGGTGGGATACGGGTAAGGTTAGGGACAGGTTTGGTGGTATGGGTAGGTTTAAGGGTGGGCTAAGGAGTAAGGGATGGGTCAACAGTGTAATTATAAATGTAATTAAATACATTAATTACAGATGTAATTACAAGGCAACACCGTGCAGCGAGCGAGAGAGAGGCGACACACTTCTCTCTCTCTGTGTGTGTGTGTGTGTGTGTGTGTGTGTGCCTTTAAAGAAGAGAGTAGCCATCGCACGGTGGAAGCTTGCAACCGGCTCCGAGTACAGAAGTGTTGGATATCTTTTTGGAGTAAGCATAACAACAGTGTGTCGGTGTGTTCAGGAGTTATGTGCTGCTGCAGAGACCTTGTGGGTACCAGAACAAATTCGGGTCCCACTTTACATTAAGTGCCCTTAACTACTATGTACTTACATCAAAAAATATGTACAGTGTACTTATTGTGTTCATATTGTATTGCAAAACACTTTTGATGCTATTGAGGTGGGATACGGGTAAGGTTAGGGACAGGTTTGGTGGTATGGGTAGGTTTAAGGGTGGGCTAAGGAGTAAGGGATGGGTCAACAGTGTAATTATAAATGTAATTAAATACATTAATTACAGATGTAATTACAAGCAGCCAGATATTTTTTAAATATAAGTACAATGTAAAAACATGTACTGTATGTACACAATAAGTGTATTGTACCAAATGACTAATTAAAATGTAAGTACGTAGTAGTCAAGGCCACTTAATATAAAGTGGGACCCACATTTGTTTTCCAGATCAGGAGAAGTTTCAAGAAAAGGCTGCCTACAACAGGTGGGGGCTCCCACAGTGTATTGGTGCTATTGGTGGATCACACATACCCATCATAGCACCACAGGACTATCGCTGACTGTTTCAACCATAAAGGCTGGCACTCCATCATCCTTCAAGGTATTGTAGATGGAAAGGGACTTTTCTGGAATGTTTTCACAGGACTGCCTGGAAGCCTGCATGATGCTTGGGTTTTGACGCTGTCCAGACTATGGGAAACCACATACACCAGAAACATTGGTGGGGTGAATGTTGGCTACTACATCCTAGGCGACTCTGCCTATCCCTTGCAGAATTGGCTCTTAAAACCATTCGTTGACACTTGACTGCTGACAGCAGAACAATAGGTCTACAACATGAAAATCTGCAGAGCACGTGTAGTGGTTGACAATGCTTTTGGAAGATTAAAAGGAAGATGGCGTTGCCTAATGAAAAGAAATGACTGTGCGGTCAACCTTGTGAAATCTATGATGCTGACATGCTGTGCTCTACATAACCATTTTGAGAGAATGCATGGGATTCACCTTCAGCAGCGAAGCCTGTGGTGGCACTGGCACAGGCTGTAGAGGATGAGGGCAGGGATGTACGTGAGGGTCTGATGCGTTACTTGAATGGTTAACTATTCATATAGCCTCAAACGAGGTGGTACTATTTAAGCGAGCCATACCATACAGTGGAAAAGCTCCAAAAGTGAAGCATTCACATGATTGGTAAGAAAGTGAGGCTTCGTTTTTCGTTGATCGTGTGTTTCTCTGAAAACAATATGCGCTCCAGCATGGAGCTTCCTGAGAAATTGTGCTGCTTACTCGATACATGCTTTGAAGCTTCAGTGTCATATGTGGTGACCGTGATTTCACCAAGTACAACATGTTCCTGGATCAACATCCTCGTTGATCCTGGAACAAAATTCCAATTAACCAATCAGAATTGAGGGATAACTTTTCAGGAAATATCTGTTTTAGGCTTATGATCAGGGTTAGGTGCTTCTACACCCAGCACCTAACAATCCCACACTCAGAAAAGCACCCACAATCAGCTATCATTTTGCAAAATATGTTGATCCAGGAACATGTCTTACTTGGCAAAATCACGGCAACCATCATATGTAACATCACTACTGGAAATCTCTGTTCATGCAGAGATACTCTGTTCATTGCATGATACTTGGGATAAAATGTGTTTGATACATTGCAGACCAAATATTTATTTATTGAAGAAAGCTCTGAAATATGAATGACTAAAAACTGATGATTATTTGACAGACTGGTCAACCACTGGTGACTTCCAACATATAGCTTCAACAGGATTGTCTCTGTATCAGTGCTCACATTCAAGGAGAGGGTGGGATGTGGCACTAAGCTGTAAGTGAATAAAAATGAAAAAAACCTTTTCAGACTGCTTGATTAAATAAAACGTGTCAGAATCTTACAGAATACACCTACAGTTTTAGGGCCATATCTTAACAATCTAAGCGCATGGTCTAAAGCGCACAGCACAGGTGCACTTAGGGCGTGTCCGAATCCACTTTTGCTAGTTTAAGGACGGGAAAAATGGTCGGTGCCCGACACATAGTCTAAAAGGGTTGTCCTTATTCTCTTAATGAGTAATGGGTGTGTTTCGGGCATAATGTGCCATAAACCAATCAGAGTCTCATCTCTCATTCCCTTTAAAGGCCAGTTGCGCACGTGCCATGGCGGATTCGCTATTTACTTGGCAGAATTTGCAAGAGCAAAGACTGAACGCTTCTCCAAAGAGAAAAAAGGTTCTGCTCGTGCATAAGGTTAAAGCGCGCGAGCAAACCATCTATGAGGCACAATAATAATCTTTTACATTGTAATCCTTTAATCTTTTTATATTTGGCATGTTTTTGCACTGCTGCGTGTCCCTGTGTGTGTAATAAGCACACAGTGTACGCGTGTTGTTCACCTGCCTATAGGCACATATTATTAACGCACTCTTTAATTAACAAAAAAAAGAATATTGCACCATTGACTTTAGACCAGGTTTTTGTTGGTCAATGGCGCTGTCCATTTCAGTTGCCTCAAAATAGCAACGCGCCAACAATACGTCTGAACGCACCTCATATTTAGACCAGCACGCCCATGGGTGCACAAATGGGTACAAATGCATTTGCTATTTAAATAATTTGGTGAAAATTATAACTGTGTCGGGCTGAAACTAGCAAAAAACACTTGCTTCGTGCCTGGCGCTGCATTGCACCGGGTGTAGGATAGGGCCCTTCATGTTTTATGCTAATTTCTGCAGTCTTGTAGTCTGAAACAAGTCTTCTCACCTGCAAGAACACAGTGATGTTGTTAACAGTGGCAAATAACACAGGACGATTTATTTCAATCAGATAAATCCTGGAAAAGGTGCAATATAATTAGTCTCTCAGGCCATTTAAGATGTAGATGCGTTTGTTTCTTCATCTGAACAGATTTGGGGAAATGTGGCATTCCATCACTTGCTCACCAATGGATCATCTGCAGTGAATGGGTGCCATCGGAATGAGAGTCCAAACAGCTGATAAAAACGTCACAATAATTCACAAGTAATTCACACCACTCCAGTCCTTTAATTAACATCTTGAATTGAGAGGCTTTTGTAACCTGCACTCAAAAACAATATTGTATTACATTAAATTCAATGTAAAAAAACTAAATTGTACCAAAAATAATGGTAATGCAAGGAAAACACCTTTCTAAGAAACTGGGTTTATTAATGAATCATTCAAGATGACTCTCAAACTCACATCAGTCTGATGAATCATTCACTAAATGAACTCACTGAATCCATAAAGGCTGCACTTACCAAAAGCACTGTAAAAGAGAGTTGATCGTAGAGACAACTGGTCCCACTCTACGTAGGCTGATGCTTTTGGGAAATGCAGCCCAGAGCGATTACAGAATCTGCATCTGACTCAACATTCTTTTGAGACAGACATCCTAACATGCAGTTTGTTGTGTAATTAAGTTTTGTGAAACTTAGAGGTAATTACTGATTGTTAGTTCATATGTTTACTGAGAATGTATTATTATTTCTTTAGACAGCTAAAGCTACTGTCTTACAGAAGTTCTGATATAGGACCTCTGGTTCAACAGCATTGAGACATCTCACTGTTTGTATCGTTCCACTTGTGTTCCAGACAAGAGTGTTAGTATGTGCATTAGTGCCACATCCCACCCTCTCCTTGAATGTGAGCACTGATACAGAGACAATCCTGTTGAAGCTATATGTTGGAAGTCATCAGTTGTTGACCAGTCAGTCAAATAATCATACATTTTTAGTCATTCATATTTAAAATGAACAAAAAACTAAAATGTACCAAAAATAATGGTAATGCAAGAAAAACACCTTTCTAAGAAACTGGGTTTATTAATTAATCATTCAAGATGACTCACAAACTTACATCAGTCTGATGAATCATTCATTAAATGAACTCACTGAATCCATAAAGGCTGCACTTACCAAAAGCACTGTAAAAGAGAGATGATCGTAGAGACAATTGGTGTCACTCTACGTAGGCGTATGATGCTTTTGGGAAATGCAGCCCAGAGCGATTACAGAATCTGCATCTTACTCAACACACTGCACGTTAGGATGTCTGTCTCAAAAGAATGTTGTGTAATTAAGTTTTGGGAAACGTAGAGGTAATTGCTGATTGTTAGTTCATATGTTTAAAACACACATTTGTAATATAATTTGTTTCACTCTTTTATGGTTTCCTTGTTACAGTGTAATTATACCTGTAAGTACTGAGAATTATTATTATTTTTTTTTTAAATATAGCTTTAGACAGCTAAAGCTACTGTCTTACAGAAGTTCTGATATAGGACCTCTGGTTCAACAACATTGAGACATCTCACTGTTTGTATCGTTCCACTTGTGTTCCAGACAAGAGTGTTAGTATGTGCATTAGTGGTGGGGAATTTTCATATTTTTGACTCTTTCTGCAGATTAAAAGTAACTGTCTCTATGAGTGAGTTATTGAATCATTAATTCAACCCATTTGTTCAAACTGCTGATTTATTCAGGAACAAAACAAGTGACTGAATGAGTCATTGAACCAGTCACTCAACCAATTTGTTTAAAACACTTAACCATTGAGAGGAAAAAAAATCAAATAAAAAAATCTCAAATTCCCTATTGGCATATTGCAGAACTAACTTGAATTGCCTTGAAACATCTGCAAGACATAATTAATTCTTGCTATTTAGTATAAGACATTGAAGTCATGAAGCTAAACACTCGGGACTGCACTTTTCATGCTGGTTTGTAACCCAGCATCACCTTTATAAAGCTATACTGTCTATAAACTCAGCTGAGCTTCTGCAGAGCTTCAAGAAAAGAATGTTTTCTAACATACGTTGCATACTGAAAACATTGCACCATCACACATTCCAGTATAAAAGTATTAATGGAGAAATCATTTATTTTGTCCTTTACGTAGGAAGTGTTTTAACATTGTCAGATGTCACCACAATCTGTATTCTTTAAAAAAAAATACTGAATGCAAACAAGAGGTGAATGTATAACATGTACCAAAAATAATGGTAATGCAAGGAAAACACCTTTCTAAGAAACTGGGTTTATTAATTAATCATTCAAGATGACTCACAAACTTACATCAGTCTGATGAATCATTCATTAAATGAACTCACTGAATCCATAAAGGCTGCACTTACCAAAAGCACTGTAAAAGAGAGATGATCGTAGAGACAATTGGTGTCACTCTACGTAGGCGTATGATGCTTTTGGGAAATGCAGCCCAGAGCGATTACAGAATCTGCATCTGACTCAACATTCTTTTGAGACAGACATCCTAACATGCAGTTTGTTGTGTAATTAAGTTTTGTGAAACTTAGAGGTAATTACTGATTGTTAGTTCATATGTTTACTGAGAATGTATTATTATTTCTTTAGACAGCTAAAGCTACTGTCTTACAGAAGTTCTGATATAGGACCTCTGGTTCAACAGCATTGAGACATCTCACTGTTTGTATCGTTCCACTTGTGTTCCAGACAAGAGTGTTAGTATGTGCATTAGTGCCACATCCCACCCTCTCCTTGAATGTGAGCACTGATACAGAGACAATCCTGTTGAAGCTATATGTTGGAAGTCATCAGTTGTTGACCAGTCAGTCAAATAATCATACATTTTTAGTCATTCATATTTAAAATGAACAAAAAACTAAAATGTACCAAAAATAATGGTAATGCAAGAAAAACACCTTTCTAAGAAACTGGGTTTATTAATTAATCATTCAAGATGACTCACAAACTTACATCAGTCTGATGAATCATTCATTAAATGAACTCACTGAATCCATAAAGGCTGCACTTACCAAAAGCACTGTAAAAGAGAGATGATCGTAGAGACAATTGGTGTCACTCTACGTAGGCGTATGATGCTTTTGGGAAATGCAGCCCAGAGCGATTACAGAATCTGCATCTTACTCAACACACTGCACGTTAGGATGTCTGTCTCAAAAGAATGTTGTGTAATTAAGTTTTGGGAAACGTAGAGGTAATTGCTGATTGTTAGTTCATATGTTTAAAACACACATTTGTAATATAATTTGTTTCACTCTTTTATGGTTTCCTTGTTACAGTGTAATTATACCTGTAAGTACTGAGAATTATTATTATTTTTTTTTTAAATATAGCTTTAGACAGCTAAAGCTACTGTCTTACAGAAGTTCTGATATAGGACCTCTGGTTCAACAACATTGAGACATCTCACTGTTTGTATCGTTCCACTTGTGTTCCAGACAAGAGTGTTAGTATGTGCATTAGTGGTGGGGAATTTTCATATTTTTGACTCTTTCTGCAGATTAAAAGTAACTGTCTCTATGAGTGAGTTATTGAATCATTAATTCAACCCATTTGTTCAAACTGCTGATTTATTCAGGAACAAAACAAGTGACTGAATGAGTCATTGAACCAGTCACTCAACCAATTTGTTTAAAACACTTATAAAAAAAATCAAATAAAAAAATCTCAAATTCCCTATTGGCATATATTGCAGAACTAACTTGAATTGCCTTGAAACATCTGCAAGACATAATTAATTCTTGCTATTTAGTATAAGACATTGAAGTCATGAAGCTAAACACTCGGGACTGCACTTTTCATGCTGGTTTGTAACCCAGCATCACCTTTATAAAGCTATACTGTCTATAAACTCAGCTGAGCTTCTGCAGAGCTTCAAGAAAAGAATGTTTTCTAACATACGTTGCATACTGAAAACATTGCACCATCACACATTCCAGTATAAAAGTATTAATGGAGAAATCATTTATTTTGTCCTTTACGTAGGAAGTGTTTTAACATTGTCAGATGTCACCACAATCTGTATTCTTTAAAAAAAAATACTGAATGCAAACAAGAGGTGAATGTATAACATGTGGCAAATGTAAGGTAGTATTAAGAAGTAAATGAACATGTAACATTTATCACATTATCAAAATATTTTGAATTAAAAGTACAGCCAAAAAAAAGTAACATACATCAGTGTTGTCCAGGATTTTTTGTCTCATATACGCCCACAGCCCCAGAAATAATAACAAACCAGAAATGTGCTCCTTTTAACCCATTATACTGGATATCGTAGCAGTATCCTTACTATTATTATTTTTGAAATGCTGCAGAAATTTGCTACAGTTTCTCAGTGCTAAGAACACATGAATGTACTTGTGACATTCTGCTTAGCTACAATGAAAGAATGAACTTGGAAGTGCAGGATATCATAAAATGCATCTATGCGATTTCTCAAGACAAGTTGTATATAAACACCAGGAAGTGATTTTGTTGACTGGCTCTTTTACTTGAAAAAGGTGGGACTTACTTTATTAGAGCTGCCATTTTGGGAGTTCCATTTTCTCCCATTCATTGTAATACCAGTGGTCTGGTCTGTTCTACTATATGTCATCTGTTTAATCTATATGCAGTCCCTGGCGATAAGTTAATAATGAAACGAAAGCAAAAAGGTACTGAGTGGGCCTATTAGTCACAGACAGATTCTTTTTGCTAATCTCTTTCATAAACAGATCTCTCATGTGAGCCAAATCAGTCAGGTTTGGGCCTGGATGAATTTGTCTTTAGATATGAACATTATCACTAATCTCTAAGGATTTGAGCATAGGGAATTCATCCCAAAGTTCTTCATTCTCCTCACTTTCAGTGGATTTCTGAGGGAATGTAGTGAAGTGTTGTACTTGAGAAACACTGCCGCTTGGTGACACATTCTCATACGGTGGGGGGCTGCCAGGGTCGTCCGCCCCTAACAGAGGCTGTGTGGACTCCGAGCGAACGTAGGCTGGTCGAGAGGATGAATGGTTTTGATACGGACCACCGAAAACAACTGTGGCATAAGGGATAGAATCCTTGTCATGCTCCGTATCATATCTGACACAGGTCTGGAATGAGGGATGGCTCTCATCATGGCTGTCGATATCATGTGACCACTGGTTCTCCTTGACATAGTCACTCTTGAATGGCTCGTTCTCAGCCAGATCAAGAAGACTGAAGTGGGACATATACACCAACACAGGCTCCATGTCTTCTTTAAAGTGAGGCATGCCCTTGGACAAAAACATGTTAAGATATGAATTTATTAAGCAGTTTGGTTGACTTTTGAAGCCATTTGATTATTATGTATTGAAATCAATTTCAGATTTTGAGCAATCTATGAAAATTATATATACGCCAGCTTCTCATACCTGCAATGAGTCAGTGTCAGTCCACCTCTTAATACTGCTGTTGGCAGGATCAGGAATTATAGGCCACAAACACATCTTCACACTATGAAAAACAGTCATAAATTAAATGATAATAATAGCACTGGCCTTAGGTACACAATAATAACAAGCCTGTGGATGCTCACCGTTCATTTTTCCCAACACAGGCAAACACAGCGATGATGATGAGAAGTGATAACCCAATGCATGCTGGGATAACAAACAGCACCATTTCAATTCCATCTGAAAAACATTTTCAATAATGTCAAACCAATAATGGAAAGACATTCACTGTGTCTGAATATTCATACTTTAAAAAAAAATAAAAGTCTGCATTCACTGAGATTCTGGTGTACAATCAATGGAAACCAATTGAATCAATGGAAACTTTGCTCTGAGATATTCATTACTGATTTCCAAGCACTACGCACCTGTCTGACTGCTGTATACCATTAAGGTTAGAGGACGTCCAATCCTGTCAACATATTTGGGATAAATAGATATCTCATAGGGCTTGTAAGGCCTTAACCCTGAAATGTGAAATAAAGCAGCCATAATTAGATCTACATTATTGTAGTGTAAACCATAAGAGATCGGGATAATTTTTTACTCATTAAGCGCCAAAGATGTAATTTGACACTTGCATACAGTGTCTAAAAAAGTTTATGGTTTTGAAATAAGTCTCTTCTACTTACCTAGGCTGCGTTTATTTGATCGAAAATACAGTAAAAAAGCTATAATATTGTGAAATATTATTACAAATTCAACTCTTTTCTATCTGAATATATTTTCAAATGAAATTTGTTCCTGTGATGCAAAGCTGAATTTTCAGCACAAATACTATAATGTAGTATCTCAATGATACTAAAATAACACTGGTTTGGGCTAAGTAAGATTTTTTTTAAAAATCATACTTTTATTCTGCATGGACATATTAAATGGTTCATAAATATATTCATATTGTTTTAAAAATGTATAATGATATTTACAAAAGATTTCTATTTAAAATAAATGCTAGTATTTTGAGCTTTCTATTCATCAAAGAATTCTGAAGTGCAGCAAATATATTAAGCAGCAAAAAATGAGCAGCAAATCAGCATATTAGAATGATTTCTGAAGGATCATGTGACACTGAAGACTGGAGTAATGATGCTGAAAATTCAGCTTTGATCATAGCAACAAATTACATTTTAATATATATTTAAATTTAATATATATATATTTAAAAGTGTTTTTACTGTATTTTTTATCAAATAAATGCACGGTGAGTGTAAGGCACTTCTTTCAAAAACGTCATTATTCCAAACCAGTAGCATATATAATTATTAATATTATTAATTACAAAAACACCTGTTACTATGGTACTGGAGTTGTTTTTGTCCATCAGAGTAAAGGACAAGAGAGCTGCCGGTGTCTCACACAGAGGTCTCCACTCAAGCACGTATCCTGTGACATGGGGGGACGCCGGTCGTCCCCACGCGACGAGCACTGACGTCTCAGACTGGGGATGAACACTGAAATTAGAGACAGAGCCCAGCCCTAAAACAACACAATAAAAGTCATCAAACATCAGCATTTCATTGGTCATACACTGTGAATAGAACATCTCTCTGAAATATCACATGTCCAGCTATCAAATACCTCTCTTCCGATACACTGGTACTTTGGTATGATCCGAGCTCCCCATTGCATTAGTGGCTCTCAGGTAAACCTTTTTAACCCACTTGGTGAGATTGAAAAAGCAGTGGTTTTCTCGTGTAACACATAAAGCCTTTTTTGATTCCTTTGATTCGACAGTATATGACAAATTCCAGCCATTGGCACTGAACTTTTCTGAGGGCTGAAATAAGATGACAGAGAGGTGAAAGGGAACTCGCAGGTTTAAAAAAAAAAGTTGTTTAAAACAAGCATCTATCTATCTATCTAATGTTAGTTAAAAAAATTAATGTTAACTGAAATGAAAAAAATATAATAATAAAATACTCTTTTTTAACTTTTATTTCAGCTAGTTGTCAAGGCAACATTTTTCATTTTCATGTAGTTTAACTTCAAAATAACTAAAACAAACAAAAACGAATGAATAAAAGTTAATTAAAACAAAAATTATATAGATATATTTAATAAAACAATAATGACAAAAACAACTGAAACCTGAAATAAAAAATTAAAAAAGTTCAAGTCAAAACATAAAAATACAAAAAATCTAATTGAATTCAATTTTAACAAAAACTATAATAGCATACATTATACTAAAATAACACTGACCGGTCACATATGTGTAGGAGTGTATAATATAATGTTAAACACACACACAGGTTTGTTTTTGTGAAAAGTGGGGATATAGGCGTAATGGTTTTTATTCTGTACAGACCATATATTCTATTGCCCTACACCAACCCTACCCCTAAACCTACCCCTTACAGGAAACTTTGTGCTATTTCAGATTTTCAATACACTCCATTCTGTGTGATTTAGAAGCGTTTTGAAAAGTGGGGACATGGGGTAATGTCCTGAAAAGTCACCTCCTCCATGTAATACCTATGTCATACCTTTGTCATTATACAAATTTATGTCCTCATTTGTCACAAAAACGTGCACACACACACACACACACACACACACTGTAGGCTTAGCCTATAATATTGAAATTAGACTTTCTCCAAATTGTGTCAGGACTGTCAGAAGGACCCTCACCTTCCAGTAGAGTTGTGCGACAGGTTTGTTTTTGTGAAAAGTGGGGATATAGGCGTAATGGTTTTTATTCTGTACAGACCATATATTCTATTGCCCTACACCAACCCTACCCCTAAACCTACCCCTCACAGGAAACTTTGTGCTATTTCAGATTTTCAATACACTCCATTCTGTGTGATTTATAAGCGTTTTGAAAAGTGGGGACATGGAGTAATGTCCTGAAAAGTCACCTTCTCCTTGTAATACCTATGTTATACCTTTGTCATTATACACATTTATGTCCTCATTTGTCACAAAAACGCGCACACACACACACACTGTAGGCTTAGCCTATAATATTGAAATTAGACTTTCTCCAAATTGTGTCAGGACTGTCAGAAGGACCCTCACCTTCCAGTAGAGTTGTGCAGTCTGATCATACACTTTAAGCCATGTGTCCAAGCTTCCAGTCGGAGCTGAAAAATAACAACTTTTTAATATTTTTTGCACAAATGTTTTGTTTAATAGAGGACTTTAGAGGTGGTGGAAGAAAAGCTGTTGAATAGGTTTCAAAACAAAACTGTTGCTGAAAAACGTATTGTCTTCATATCGGGACAATTGTGGGACTATTTCTGTGTGTGTGTGTGGACATTAGGGTAAATAGTCTTGTTCTACAATCAAGAACACATGTTCCAGACTGCAAGCTGAGAGTACTATGCTCCATAGCATCCAAATGTGTCAAAAATATATTGTGACTAATTTGTCACATATTGCAATTGCAATCTGAACTGTGATATGATTTCTTCATTTCTAGAAAAAATCTCATACTGTTGAAACATTCAGGCAAAAAGAGACCGCTCTCTGATGCAAATGAAAGTAGTTGATTTTTTAAGGGTGTTTGTTCTCACTTTTCTCACCTCTTTGAGTGATACTACTACTGATACTACTACTACTACTAATATTTTTACATTATTTTTAATACTAATTATCAAAAAATGAAGACAGGAATGTATTACCACTGTAATAATAAAATTTTAAATAAACTGTACTTTAAAATTAATATTTGATAATTATACAAATGTTATTTCACACTATGAGTAACAACAATAATACGTTTTACATTTTTGACTTGAATGTTAAACTCTCAAGCTTTTATTTTGGCAGAACTCTGTAGGGAGATATTTGAGTTTGTTTAGTTGACAACAGATTTATACGCCTTTTGTTACAAATCTAATAAAATGATGAAAACTTGCATCCACAAAAATGTGGGGAATTATGCAAATGTGAAGATAAAGTAATCCTGATACACACTGTATTCCCAAATGCACATGCACAGTTCATGTTGAGCAGCATTTACTGCGAACAAGACACCGGAACACAGTATAACTGAACACAGTGCCACACTTCACTCTGAAACACACATCACAACCATTTGAGATCTGATGATCGCGCTAAGACATATTGCAATTTCAATTTTATCGATTTATTTTAATTAGACATTTTATGATTTCATTATGAGCTTTCAATGAAATCATGAAGCCCCTGCATTTCCTTTGTGAAACTGTTTGGGAAGCCATGACCTAGATTATTCAAATATTAAGGCCTACATATGCAACCTTTTTAAACTTTTCAGACAAGAGTTTGTCAAGTAAACATCAAAGTTTCTTTGATAACACTTTATTTTGATAGTCCACTAATATTACATTGAACTGATTACAAGTACCGTTGCAGCTACATGTCAACTAGCAGTCATTAGAGTATTAGTAGACTGTCTGCTTAATATCTGCTAACACTTTATTTTGATGGTCCCCCAACAGACATTCTATTGACTATAACTAACTTTGCAAATACATCAACTTATTCTAATAACCTTAAACTTAACCAAATAGTCTACTAATATTCTAATGATTGGTAGTTTACATTAGTTGTAACTTTAGTTGTAACGAGAGAGTGGCGTTCCAGCAGATGATGTAGGATAATAGAGTAAGCTCCGGAGAGAAGTGACGAATGCAGAAGCGCAAAGGAGAGAGCAAAACAAAATGCAGGTCACGAATTAGAAGTACAAAATGAGGATTTGTAAAGAAAAATGATGGAGGATTTTGATATAAGCCAAGAGGAGACTGATTTTTCCTTTGCTGTAAACAAAACTTGGTTCTTGTGAGACTAGCATATTCTCACCGGAGCTTACTCTACGCCTAATACCGAGTTCACACTGCACGATTTTAGCCCGATTTTTCACTCGCCGACAGGTTTCGCGAAATCGGCGACAAATGCCTGAAATCGGAGGCAAATCGGTGCTCGACAATCACGCAGTGTGAATTATCAAAGGCACGATCTGAGTGAATCGCCGACACGTCGCCGACGCTCGTGAAATATTTGGCATGCTAAATATCTGGAACTGTCGGCGATTCACGATCAAGCTGTGTGCAATGATTTCTGACTGCAAAAAAATACATCAGCGATGACCTACAGCCACTGAGAGACCAAGATACAGGGCAGAGGGAAGTTCGGGGTGGAGTTATAGACCAGAATATCAGTATTTTAATATATATATATATATGAACAATTGTATCATACAGAAACGAGCACAGACATTTGCTTGACATATATATATATATATTTTTTTTTTTTTTTAATATAATTCCAGTCTTGCTCGAGAACTGACGCACGCGGGTTCTCGCGTTATTTCCTTATCACTTCTCGCGTGTGTTTTGTTGTGAAACGTAGTTTGCGGACCAGACGGAGCTGTCGGTGATTCTTCCTATTGTGAAGTCATGCAATGCGAAACCGATCGCCGATCCATCGTGCAATGTGAACACAGCAGCGACTGATTGCCACCCCAGATAGTCACGCAGTGTGAAAACAACGGCGATCCGACGAGTTTGAAAATCATGCAGTGTGAACTCGGCATAAGTCATCCGCTGGAATGCCACTCTCTCGTGAATGCGCATATGACAGTTAGCGGAAGCTAGAAATGATGGTTTATAATGTTTTAAATATGGATATTTTTCTTACACAAACAAATCGCTTCTCTTCAGAAGGCCTTTATTAACCCCCCAGAGCTGTGTGGAGCACTTTTTATGATGGATGGATGCATTTTTTTGGATTTTTCAAAATCTCGACCCCCATTCACTGCCATTATAAAGCTTGGAAGAGCCAAGACATTTTTTTTAAATATAACTCCAAGTCATATTCACCGAATGGCTTGAGGGTGAGTAAATAATGGGATAATTTTCCTTTTTGGGTGAACTATCCCTTTAAGTTTAGGTATGGGGTAGGATTAATTCTAAAATATGGTCATGCAGAATAAGGCATTGATATGTGCTTTATAAGTACTAATAAACAGCCGATATGCTAGTAATATGCATACACAACTAGTTAACAGTGAGAAATGGTATTTTATTGTAATATAGTAACTTCTTACTCTTCATAAGTGTGGTGGCTATTTTCAGATCACTCCATTCACTCCATTTACTCAATGAAGTATACTTCACTCGCATTGTGGTGCTGTAATTTGTCCCATGAGAGAGGCCACACACATTTATTTTGTTTTGTTTAAAGAAGGTAAACACCTATAACAGAATGAATATTTGAGACTCATTAAAAAAAAAAAAAACTCACATACAGTGCAGCTTTTAGAAAAACATTTGTTGTGAAAAGCAGTCGCTTACCAGCTCTTTGTTTAGCTGGTTGTTCACTGTTTTCAATCTCAACTCTACAGTGAAAGGCGTCATCAACCATTTCTGAGATTTTGCAAGACTCCAGCTGTAATTTAAGCAGCCCAACACATCTGCTTCAATCCTCTTAATCTCCGGAGGGTCGAACATTGCTGAAATACAATACATTGAATCAACAACTGTCATGGTCTATTTTTGCATTCAAGAAAGGCTTTTGAAAAGATGAATTTGGATGCAGCATCAAGCAGGATTGCAAAAAAACAAAAAAACAAAAACAGAATATAAGAAATGGTACACCTAAAATTGAATTGAATTAAACCCACTGACCCCCATTCACTGCCATTATAAAGCTTGGAAGAGCCAAGACATTTTTTTTAAATATAACTCCAAGTCATATTCACCGAATGGCTTGAGGGTGAGTAAATAATGGGATAATTTTCCTTTTTGGGTGAACTATCCCTTTAAGTTTAGGTATGGGGTAGGATTAATTCTAAAATATGGTCATGCAGAATAAGGCATTGATATGTGCTTTATAAGTACTAATAAACAGCCGATATGCTAGTAATATGCATACACAACTAGTTAACAGTGAGAAATGGTATTTTATTGTAATATAGTAACTTCTTACTCTTCATAAGTGTGGTGGCTATTTTCAGATCACTCCATTCACTCCATTTACTCAATGAAGTATACTTCACTCGCATTGTGGTGCTGTAATTTGTCCCATGAGAGAGGCCACACACATTTATTTTGTTTTGTTTAAAGAAGGTAAACACCTATAACAGAATGAATATTTGAGACTCATTAAAAAAAAAAAAAACTCACATACAGTGCAGCTTTTAGAAAAACATTTGTTGTGAAAAGCAGTCGCTTACCAGCTCTTTGTTTAGCTGGTTGTTCACTGTTTTCAATCTCAACTCTACAGTGAAAGGCGTCATCAACCATTTCTGAGATTTTGCAAGACTCCAGCTGTAATTTAAGCAGCCCAACACATCTGCTTCAATCCTCTTAATCTCCGGAGGGTCGAACATTGCTGAAATACAATACATTGAATCAACAACTGTCGTTGTCTATTTTTGCATTCAAGAAAGGCTTTTGAAAAGATGAATTTGGATGCAGCATCAAGCAGGATTGCAAAAAAACAAAAACAGAATATAAGAAATGGTACACCTAAAATTGAATTGAATTAAACCCACTCCACAAGATATTGAACTAGAATTTGAAATGGAATGACATGAAGAGGAATTTACTGAACTGCAATTCAAAAAAGTTCTGATTTCATTAGTGCAACAAAATAATACATAATTCATTTTGACTAATTATTATTTAAAATATGTTAGGAAAATATCAGTATTACTATTTTTTTTAAATAAATGTATTGAGGTGGGACACTGCAGGTGAATAGGGTAAAAAGAATAGGTGAAATATATCTACTAATTAACACCTTACCCAGTTGATTGATTACATTGATAATTGCAAAAAAAATAGTATTACAAGTTTTCTGAAATGTTATGTTTAAATGAACACTGGATGAAGTCAGTTTCAAAATTATTGTTTATTTATTTTTTTGACATATTAGAGGCAAATGTTTTTGCAGAGGGATTTTTGGGTATCCATAATTCAGAAAATACTTTGAACAGCCAGAAAACAATATATTTTCACAATTTTGGGAGAATAAAATGTTGTATATAATCAAGACAATGATATACGAACAAATCCCTCTGTAAAACCTTTCAGAATATAGACAGGAGTAAAAATGTAAAGTTTGGTGTGTGTAAGTGCTACTGAAGTGGAGCTTTATGGATCTGTGTAGGAGAAAAAACTCATTTTGAGAAAAAGGCCAACCCTCATCCGTCCCTCTCGAACCTATAACAAAAGTGTCCCTCGCGGGTCAAAATGACCCGAAGGCCAAAAATGACACTTTTTCTTTGGTCCAGAAAGCTTATATTGGTCCATTTATATATATATATATATATATATATATATATATATATATATATATATATATATATATATATATATATATATATATATA